TTAAGTTGATCATGGTGACTATTTTGTTATGATTTTGATATTGTAGTGATTCCTTCTGGCCATGGAATACCATTCAGTCAAATAAGATTTGGGTAACTATACCATCCCTGAAAGTTGATGGAAAAGTGGTCCAAATTTTAGTTAACGCGTTAAAGGCTTCTTTTGTTTGTGGTGCCATTTGAAGTATGTATACCCTGAATGCCTAAAACTCCTGAATCTATGTAGAAAAGTGTATTTTGTGTTTGTAAATAAATATGTATGCCCTTGCATCTGTAATAGAATTTGGTCATTCATATTATATTCTTGGGACTAAAAATCTGTGTCTGACCCAGCAGTCTTGTATGTTTTATAAGCATCCATGAAGCTCTGGCAGGCTAACTTGTGGCTTGAAATAAAGGTCTCAGGTTCTTCACAGTTCTTGACACAACTTTTCCAATTTCATTTCTTGCTGCTCCCTATCTTCCTGTCTACATGACACTTAAGTTGTATTATTCACCCTCCCCAAATATAACTTGCAATTCTCTGTCTTAAATTATAGATTGCTTTTCCATTAGTTTCCATTCAGGGAAGTTTTAACAACATTCTCTGTGAAATATTTTCCTGCTCAAACCACTCTTCAGACATAACTTGTGATGTTTTAGTATTTAGTTTATATTGTTAGGTTAATGCAGTATCTGCTACTTATTTTGCATTCAGATCAGCTTTGCATGATATTATTCAATATGTGGTGTTCATCATGGGTAATTTATACTTCATCATGGATAATATTTTGAGTGCCCAACATTGTGCCTGACCTAAAGTGTTCAGTAAAAATCCCAATGAATCAACACAACAAATATTGCAAAGGTTCATCTAGATTTTCTTTTAAAAGATTCTCTAAATAACTGTAATTATTTAAAGGGAAAATACAGTGAAAACCCAGATAGGATTCCATAGCTTTCATTGCTTTCTTATCATAGGAAATGTTTTTGTAATAGATGAAGACTGAAAAAGAATTAAATGCCAGCAATCAAACCACAATCCCAGAACAGCAGGTGTTTTGAATATTTGATTTGAATAAGCAGACATCCTGTGTTGCTCTGACATAGATTTAAGGGTTGCCTCTGGGAAAAAATGGCATGTCAAAACAAAAACTAAGAGTTACCCAGGGATGTGTGTGGGAGACAAAGACATCAATAGAACCAACCCTTTTCAAGCCAGTGGCAAGCATCAAGTGCTGGATTTTTCATTGAATTACTAGTGATATGGCTGATATTGAGTCTTTATTTAGATCTTTGATGGGCACATTATATATTCTCTTATAAAAGACCTATTAAATGTACTTTAACACTGAGATGCTCTTGGCCTAGAGATGTTTAAATTACCCAGGCAACAGCAAATGAATCAACTTAAAAAATGAATCCATTATTAACTTAAAAATAATATATATATATATATATATCTTCAAAAGAAAAAAAAGTTGTATATCGAAGAACAGAAAAGTTGAGTTTTTACTAGACTAAGTTGCATTAAATTAATTCATTCTTTAAGCATTTATTGAGTTCCAGCTAAATGTCAGAGTGTGCTGTATTAGTTTCTATTGCTACTATAACAAGTTACCACAAACTTAGCAGCATAAAAAAACACCCATTGATTATCTCATGGTTTTTATGTTAGAAGTCCATGTGAACTCAATTGGGTTCTCTGCTTAGGGTCTCCCAGGCTGAAATCAAGAATCAGCCAGATTGAGGTCTTATATGTTACAGGGGAAAATCCACTTCCATGTTGTCAGCAGATTGTCTGAAATTCTTTTCATGCTTTGAACCTCTG